ACACACACACACACACACACACACACACACACACACACACACGTACGCATGCACACACATGCATGCTCAAAGAAAAATAGAACCCAAAAACATGCACCAGTACAATTCTCGGGCAAAAGGTCGAAGGTCAATTTAGCTCCAATGTCTGTTTGGTCCTGTGTACTGAATTCTATTCCCCAGTGTCTCTCTCAGAGGTTCTGCCTCTGGAGATTGCTTTCTTAGTTTTGTCACACTTTAAAATTCCCAGACTTCTCTTTCATTCTTCAGCTAGTCTCATCCCTTTGATCCTCAACACTGAACTTAAATGGTGCATTTCTAACGAAAGCTCTTACCATTAGCTTTTCTGCTGGAGCCCACCACTAAGTGCTGGTAGACGCCAGAAGACGGAGTCAGAGACCCTGGAACAGGTACCACCATTTGGGTGCTGGGAATCCAACCTGGGACCTTTGCCAGAGCAGGCAGTGCTCTTAGCCTCTGAGGTGTCTCTCCAGCCCCTAGCACTCATTGTTCATGGCTCTGAAAGCTGGAAGTCTGGGGTCACTTGTTGGTGATGATATTTTCTCCTGATGTCACTTTCCTTACATCACAGCTGTTATCTTGCAGTGTGCTCTGGTGGTCTTTCAGTCTGCATAGTGACCCCTCATGCCTACTCTTCTTAAGAAACAATGATCAGTTGAATTAGGACGGTAGACCTCATTTAATCTTAAATAATTCCTTAAGGGTCTGTCTCCAAATAACATCACACTGGAAGTTAAGGCTTCAACATCTGAATTTGGGATAGAAAAACATAATTTAGTCCATGACACTTTTAATCAGAAGTCAAACATTTAATGGTATCCCCAAACTTTGTAATGAAGACAAACCATATTTTAATATACTTTAAAACTTAAAATCAGTTTAAACTCAATTATTAATAAATTAAGTTTTTAAATAAAGGTAGATTGATATTTTTCCCCTTTTATTTTGAATTTCAGTATGGCTCTTTAGGAAATAGGCTTCTCTTGGCTTCCTTCTCATGTTCTTCTGAGTCCTTTTTCATTGGTACAAACTGTGTATGTGTGTGTGTGTGTGTATAGGTCAGGGGTCTACATGGAGTGTCTTCCTTAGCCCAGCTCCATCTTGTTTGCTGAGACACTATCTTTTCTTGAACCTGGATCTCACTGATTCTGCTAGCCTGGCTCCTCAGTGGGCTCTGGGGTCCACCACCTCCACCTCCCCAGCACTGGGATTACAGACATGCAGTGCCATGTCTGGCATTTGAAGTGGTTGCTAGGAATTGAACTCTGGTGTTCATGTCTATCTCAAGCCTGTGCAACAGACATTCTACCAACAGAATCATTTCTCCAGCTCCCATCTCGCCTTTCTTGATTGGGAATTTTGGGAAGGAAGGGTGATTTGTGATTATCACTGTTTTCCCATTTCTCACGTACCACCTACTGCCTATAGTGAGTCCTCAGAGCCTGTGTGTGTGTGTGTGTGTGTGTGTGTGTGTGTGTGTGTGTGTGTGCTGTCTCATGTGGTCTCAGGTGGTCGCTTACGTCACCAATCTCGAAACTGACAGAGCTGTTAGACTCAGAAGTGGGTAGACATGTGGCTCAAGAACCCCACTCCTCAAGTATAGACAGCATACCTTTGAAAGCATCCTTCTCTGGAAAGCGTAGAAGTGGAAGGCAATGCTAAATGGTGATGGGATAGGATCCAAAGTGAGGAGAACTGGAGTCAAATGGACTCTGCAGTGATGGCAGCCAAGCCTGAGCATGAACAACCCAATGGGTAGGAATCATCACTACTGTAAAAACAGCCTTTTCAATTTTGTCATTTTAATATCTTTATTATTTTGCCTCTCTGTGTACCTACCTACTTATTTTCTCTTTCTAAAAATCTTTCCCATTTGCTCTAAAGTTCTCTTCTCATGCCAATGTCATAATATTGAGTGGTACAATCTAATGCCCAGACTAGACTTCCCAATTCCATATTCTAGTGTCTTCTTTGGTACAACCCACACTTTCCATATTGCCTTATATTCCTATTTAAAATGCTCGTATGACATTCTGGGCATGTTCCTTTCCATCACAACGACATGCATGTTGGTCATGGCTCCTGGACTTTGTGTATGGACTCTAGCTATTTTATGATATGATCTGTTAGATTAGTATTGTGTGCCTTTTTTAGTTCAGTTCTCAGAGTCAGGTACTTCCAGGAAGGTTGTGATCACGTGAGGACTATGTCCACTGCCAGATAAACACTGCTACCCTGGCGGCATTCACACATTCGTTGTCCCCTTCTGGTCTTCAGGTGATCTCGTGATATTTTGTTCTCGAGCAGGACATGCTAAAAAGCCCACACTTGCCCTTTTCTAAAATTGCCCTATGACTTGTCAGTTTCAAAGAGTTTTCATCTCTGAACACACACACGTAAATGAGATAAAGAGAGGGGAACATCCATTTGGTCTTAATATCCCTGGCCCTGGTTCTCCACCTGGGATAGGGAGTTATGGAGTCCTTAGAAGAAAACAGAGAAGGCTGTAGATGTGGATTCTGAGGGTCACATTCCAGGTTTCCTTCAGGATGGAGACACAAGCTGCTCCGCTCCAGCTGTTGTGAGAACTGACTGCTGGCAACTCAAAGTCCTTCACTGTGAACTGTAGGCAACTGAAGGGAGCTGACTCAGGAAGGATGAAATATGCTTCCTAGAGACACCCAGGGTCCAGTGTGTAACTAATGTTCAGAGGCCCTGGAGTCAACTGTGGACCTCCCTGAAGAGCCATCCAAGTTCTCTAGAGCTGAGAGTTACATCACAGATGAATCCATCTCCGTGAGATCCTGCTTCCCTCACTCCTTGCAGGTGTTTCTCCTAAAAACGTCTTCCAAATGAAACTCCTCTATGCACATTTCCATCCTGGGAGCCTGGCATAGCAGACATCTTCCTGCGAGCCTCCAGCTGACTGAGCTTCTATTTCTGGTGTCCAATGAACATGGGCATCACTGTTTCTTTCCTCTCTGCTGTGTTCTGTCCTTGGCAACAAGGAAGTGTCTTAATGTTTAGCAGTAGTGGTCTTCTGATTTTACTCTTTCATGGTTGGGAGCTGTTCTCTGCTTGTCTGCCTTGATGATATGATTCTAGGATGCTGGGTGAGGTGGCTTCTGGTGTCATCATCCTTTGGCCTTTTAAACCTATCAGTCTCAAAATGCTACCAAACACATGGTGACTCACGCAGTCTAACACAAGCACCATGTTGCAAGTCATAGCCATATACCAGTGTTAGTCATCAATCTAACCCCCAAGCTGTCTAAACTGTCCACTGAAGTTCAGAATGTGTACTTACACCAAACTCTGACTTATTTCTCAGCAAGTACTCTGTAATTTAGTGAAGACAGGAAGCTGATTAGTTCAGCCTTGGATTCCACATTTAGCACTAGGACTCACTGTGGGGAGTGTGTGGCCTGTGAGACATCATGAAGCTCTCCGGACATTGCATGAGAACAGAAAACATGAGACCAGAGGCTGAGATGAAGGAAGAAGAATTCTCACAGTGGGTTATCTGACATTTTGGGTGTAGGGAATATGGAGCAAATAAAGATCTGGGTTCAAACAAAAACAACACCTTCTAGCTATATACAATTTGGAGCAATTTACTTAAACTTCAACTTTCCACTTCAGGAGGAGATTCACAAGACCCATGCCACTGGGTTATTGTGAGGAGTAAATGATAGATGCTAGGTAGAGCTCCAGATCTGCCACATTATCATATTTTCATTAAGATTTATATAACACACTGGAAACAGGATAAACCTTGAGGCCAAAGCCGTGGGTGTATTTTTGACAAATCCTTTCACTTCCTCTTCATTATCTCCATCCTCAGACAGGGTTTATGGGGATTGAGTGAGTTTATGATCTCCAAAGACCTTACTAATTGTCTGTTTCTATATATGTGTGTAAAATTTAAACACAGTTATACGTATTTTCAGAAGACACTGATAAATCTAAACAGCCTGCAGATTTGTCTGCATAAACAAAAATGAAAGCTACCTAAGCCAGAGTTGAACATTAAATGTTTGTGATTCACTCCAATTCATCTTGCTATTGTATACACGATAGGTTTCATTTTTATTGAACAAATACATTTCCAATGGATCTCCTCATGGTTCCTTTGAAAAGTCATCATATTTATAATGAATAGAGTTCTTTATATCATCTATTGAAAATTTAATAATTCTAGCATTTATTCTCAACCTCATATACATTTATTTAATAATGACAATAACTATATGGAACTTACTTTTGTTTCATATCAACTGGGTGCTGTAGACAGACTGTGACCAGCACTTTAGTTCTAATAAATGAAATTTTGGACTCAGAATTGAACCCACATCTTTCTGAATACAACATTCTTAAGTTCAAAAAACTGCACTATCGCTATATCATTCTTCCCCCGAGGTTGGAGAATGTTCTATGCTCCTTTTTTGCCTTTCTTCACCTCCCTTACTCTCCCCTGTCTCTTTCCTTTGTTCTCCCTCTCATCCTCCTTCTGCTTCTGCTTTTCCCCTTCTGTAATCAAGTTAAGGCCAATAATGGCTGGCCATGTTCCCACAGGACTTGTGAAGTGAATGAGGCCTGTTTCAGACAGCAGAGTCACTAGGATGAATAAATTATACATTGAATCCTTAAGCTCTATGTAGAAGTAGTTTCTACTTCCAAGAGGAGAGTTGGTGATACAGCGGCAGGTGTGGCAGAAGATACATCTTCAACTGTAAGCACAGTGAAGTAGAAGTGGATGGAGTGAAGCAATGTTCAGAGCATATCTCCAGGGGCAGTCTTCCTCTAGTAAGGCTGTACCATCTCTTCAAACAGAGCCATCAATCAAGGACCAACTGTTCAAGTTCCTGATACTATGGGGACATTTCTCATTCAAACGGGGATGTTAGAACTGAAATAATCTCCCCAATACTAATATGAAAAGCTGCAGAAGTTATAACACCAACATTTTAGAATCATGCTTGATGTCCCCTCAAAGGACACTTCTGTCTTCCTGGAGATTTTGTGAACAGTAAGACAATTATAGTTCTCATTCTAACGATGCTGATAGCAGGCATTGAAGAAGTGAAGGTGCCGTCAAGGACAACCTTGTGGCTATTTGATAACTGAGCTCTCTATGAAAATCATGCAATTGCCTGTCAGTTGATTCTTCTACTAGAGATGACAAGATGACTCTCCAGATGACATGTTTTGATCATTTGTAACACTGAATACTTTCACATGTCAAATGTTGAGCTAGGTCGTTAACATGTTACCCCCTCCCTTCTCTCCTTGTAAGTCTCATTATAAGAGGATTAACTTTTCTTTTACCAAAGGAAGCTGGCCCAGAGGGATCATTCACTGGTCACTGGTCACAGTCCTAAGGCTTGGGGGAGTACCAGGCAATGCTTCTGTGACCTCACAAGTTTGGAATCTTTACTCTGCCCTGTCCTGGAGATAGGGTGTTTACTAGCTCACTCTGGCAGACTCTGTGAGTAGACTCCTGCATTGCACCAGGGCAGAATCTGAGTCAACAGGAAACTTGTGACCATGGCTAATTTGGAAAAGAAGCAGAGTGAATTCTATAGATTGATTTTCAAATGCTAAACTTGATTACCTAAGATATACAGTGTGCAATTTTTGTATATTGTCCATTTTTATTGTTTATTTGGATCTTTTGAATTTATATTCATGAGGATTATTGGTGCATGGTATTCATCTCATAATGTGTTTGTGCCATTTTGCTACCAGAGTTATTATGGCACCACAAAATTTTATAAACTGTACTTGAGTTATCTAGCATCTCAATACTTATATGTAAGTTTATTATTTGGATAAAATTTATTCATAGATATAGGAACATATTTTTGTGGGAAGATTTTTAAAGAATTATTTTTTATTTTTAACATTGAGCATTTGTGTGTTTCTGCATATGTGTTTTTGCACATGCATGTAGAGGACCCCTGAAGCCAGAAAACATCATTGAATCTACTGGAGTTGGAGTTTCATGTGGTTGTGAGCTACCATGTGGGTGCTGGAAACAGAGCCTATGTCCTCTGGAAGTGCAGCCAGTGCCTCTGGTGATATTTTATTTGTGCTGAAATCTGATTTTATTTGTATGTTAATAAATAAAAGTGCCTGGGGGTCAGGGCTAATAACAAGCCATTTAGCAGGAGCCAGGCAGTGGTGGCACACACCCTTAATCCTGATCACGATCACATGAAAGGCAGATCTCTGTGTGTTCAAGGATACAGCCAGCATGGAGACACAGGCCTTTAATCTCAATACCAACCATAGAGACCTGGAGGTCTGTATAGACAGGCAGTGATGAGGAGGTCATGTGGTTGGGTTTACAACCAATGAAAAGGCAGAACAGAAAGTCAATAAAAAGACAGACACAGGAAGTAGCTCTCTTTCTGAGGGGAAGGACAGCAGCGGCAGCTGGTGTTAAGAAGGTGGTCTCAGCTACTGACTCTGCTCTCTGATCTCTTGGGCTTTTAACTCTGCATTTGGCTCTGTGTTTCTTATTTAATAAAACCATTCAGAATTACATATACAAGTGCCCTTAACCATGAACCATCTCTCCAGTCTTGGAATAGTTAACATAAACACACATACAGTGTATTCATAAAAAATGAAGAAATACAACTATGGCAGTTCTCACTTCTGCAACTGATCACATGGTCATGGCTGTGTGGATCACTAGCTCCTCTACCACCTATTCTATAGTCCCTTCTGAACTGCTTTTCATTGGAGAAAGACTGCCTTCACTTCTGGAGATTATGAGCCACAGTCTCATCTAAATTGTACTTACAGTTATCCGTTGATCACATTATACACTAATAATAGGGGTTACCTGACGCACATTCCTCCTCAGCTCAGCCCTGATCTCCCCGTGATTGTCAGGACCAGAAAGTTTATTAATTTATTTTCCCAGCTGTCAATTCAGAAACATAAAAAGGGCAATCTCAAAGCACATACAGAATCATCCATGTTTAATGTGTATGCTTAGTTTATGTGTATCTGTTTGTTTTCCCATATTTTTGTGTTTGCTTTTTTATTTCTAATATTTTTCAAATTACAAAAAAGGGAGCATGTAATTGGGAGGGTGTATATGATCAAAGCATGCTATATACATGTATGGAAAGTTCACAACGGCACCCTTTAAGATGTATAATTAAGATGGATTAATATGCAATAGTGGCATGACTGAAGGTAACCAACAACTTTATGTTTGGATTTAAAGTCTGCTCCACTGGAAATAGTAGAGTCCACCAAAAGTCTATGGGAGATTACATGCCCTGTGGATATGTTTATGGCTGAAGTTTTGTTAAATGGGCATGTGGTCAAATTGGCTTCTAAATATGTGTGTTTGTTCCCATAGGTTAGTGCTAATCTGCCTAGGTCCAAGAAGCTGCCTTTTGCAATGGGCAATGGTCAATGCAGAGACATGGAATTGGCCTAGTACTGAGAATAGGTGACTGGTAAGTGTTCAGCCCTAAGTGAAATATCCATCTCAACCCATCTAAGGCTCAGGGAAACTGTCAGAAGGAGGAGGAAAGATCATAAGAGCCGGGGAATGAGGAAAGCACAATAAAACACTGTCTTCTTGCTATGGTGTATCTGTTGTCAGGAACACACAGCAGCTATGGCTATCTGCACAAGACCTGCACACACACACACACACACACACACACACACACACACACACCATGCACATACACACAGACGCATGCACACACGCACGCAAATACACACATACACACACACAAGACACACATAGACACATGCACACACACACATACACACACACACACACACACACACACACACACACCAGACATACACCAGACACACAAACACACACTCCACACACATACGCTACAACACATATAACACACAAACACACACTTCACACATTAGAGTGAGCCTAGTCAAGAAGAAGGTGGTTGGTAGGAGTAGGAAGGAGATGAGAAAGGGTAGTAGGGAATAGATACCATGATAGTACATTGTATACATGTATGAAGTTGTACACACACACACATACACACATTTCTGTTTTTTTATTTTTACCATAATTTGGGAAAAATTAGAAACATCAAATATTCTGCCCTCAGTGTTTTTCTGTATGCTTCTGTATGAAAATAGTGAGTCTTGAGAGAAAAGTTCTGGTGGAAGAGTTTAAATTAGATTTCTCTTTGTAATGAAAAATTACATTTTAATAACTTTGTGATTCTTTCCCCTTTGTTTCTACTCATGAAAGAGATCTGCACTCTTGCAATTTCGATGCGCCCCAGCCCTGCTTCCTGGCTGCTTCTGTGACTCATTATCCGTTTAGAGGCAAAGGATCACAGTCTGTTTCCTCTAGTGTCCAGTGGCTCCCCAACTGGAGCGTCTAAGGGGTGGGAAGAGTCAATCACAGGCCAGCTCACTTGTCTAGGTTTCAACGCAGGATTTTCTTTCCTTTAGAACTGTCACAAGTTAGAATAATTTATGCCACCACACAGGAGTTCTCACGTGGCATATTGTTATCTTCTAAATCTCTGTATCTGTTCACTGAACAAAAGCTCTTGCACTGAATGCTTGTTACACATCTGCCAGTGTTAGTCTACAGGGTGCTGAACAAGCCCACGTTGTCTTTGACTAGAATAAAGACAGTGTCTTCCTTTCCCCCTTTTTCATCCCTTCTTCCTTTCTCGTACCCTCCACCCTCTCCTTTCCTTACTTCCCCAACCGCCTTTCCTGACTCCTTAATCGCCTTCCCAGCTCTTTTATTCCTCCATTCCTTCCCTTTTTCTTCCTTTCCTTCCTCTTTTCATCCACTTCTTCCTTTCACCTCTCTTTCTTCCTCCCCTTCTTTCCCCCTTCATTTCTTTTGCCTCTCTTACTTTTCCTCCCCCTCTCCCCTTTCTTCCCTCTCTCCCTCCCTCCTTCCCTCTTCTCCCTTCTCCTATCCCCTTCCCTCCCTCCCTCCCTCCCTCCCTCCCTCCATCTAGAGAGGAGAAAGGAGGAGAAAGCCTCCCCCTTTCTCCTCTCCTCCCAACAGAACATGAACATCTGCAATAAGGAACAATGACTTTGTCCTGCTCACCATTCCTCTCCTTCATGATCTAACCATAATAAATCTTTTAGATGGTTTATCTATATGATATCTACCTCCTGAAATATTTCTATTGCATGTTCATAAATATATGCATGTGTGTATGCTTGCTTAGTATGTTCATTGTAACTTATGTAGAAGAGATCATATGCTACAAGCTGTTTGTAATCATAATTTAAAAATATGTGCGGGATTTGTGTGTGTGTGTGTGTGTGTGTGTGTGTGTGTGTGTGTGTGTTTACAGTTCAGAAGACAACTTATCTGTGCTCCTTCTACCATGGGTTCTGGAATCAAATTCATGTTGTGGGCTTGTATACACACTATGACTTCTTGCTGGCCTGTCATCATACCTTTTCAGCTAATACATCTCTGGGATATTCCTATATTAAACAGTGGTTTGTGAATTGAGCAGCAAACCACTATGGAGGTCTGGCTCACTCTGGCTGTGAGCTTCCTGATTCTTTTCTGTACCACAATCTAATGTTATTACATGGAATCCTCTCTAAATCCTTTCACTTTGGGCAGTATAGATGAGTCCTCTCTAATATGGCTCCCACTGTGTTCTTAGTACCATGTTTGTGGAGTCCCTCAGCATGCTGTACATACAAAGCAGAGGACTGACCACCATCCAGTGGTACATTTCTTATTCTCATCTCTTTTATTCAACTCTTTAGTATGAGTCTTGGCTCTTGGGCAAAGGAGCCACAACTGTGTACTCTGAACTTAATTATACCCCTCTAAAGTTCCGTGTTGAATACATAACCTCTAATATGACAGGTGCTTCTGGGTAGTTAGAAGCTGATTAGGGTTCCTTGAAGTTACAGGAAGAGGAGCATTAATATCAGATGTCTTTGGTCATAAAAGAGGAATATGCTTGTTCTTTCCTCATTCCCTTCCTCTCTCTCCTTTTTAAAGTGTGTGTGTGTGTGTGTGTGTGTGTGTGTGTGTGTGTGTGCGCTCACACACACATGTGTGCATTCACTTGTGTGTGCATGTCCGGGGGATATGCAAGTGCACATGTGTCTTCTCAGTCACTCTCCCTTATTTTTAAAACAAGGTCTCATGACCAGTGATGAGTTGAACCACTTTTCTAACATGGTTACCATTCTGCTAGCATCATATACCTAGGTCTGTGGAGGAAACAAGAATGTGTCATCCCAGAAATCCTACAGAAAATGTCTAGATGCATAATCAGCTTAGGCAAGATGGAGTTTAAATCCTACTGTGCTTTTCTTAGTGAATGTGAAATTTGCATTCTACACACACACACACACACATACACACACACACACACA